AAGGCAATATAATCTGCGCACTCGTAGCCGGATATCATGAACTGCGCTTTTCCTCTTGAATAACGCCTTCGTCTTTGTCACTTGTCAGAGAATTGCGGCCGTAAGGTGCAAGCATCAGGTAGCGTGACAGTTGGTCTCGAATGCTTTGACATGAAATGCAAGAACACTTGTCGCTACTGCCTACAAGTCTACGATATCACGTATGTTCCTCGCTTGGTTATGTGGAGGCACAGTGGACTACGTTTGTCTTGCTCCGGGCACTTTTCACCAGGACCAAATGCGTGAGATTTACGGCTCTCGGATCATGCTGTGATTTTGCAGTGTTTCAGCGGTCACGAGTTCGATGCGAACGGTTCTTTGTTTGCGACAGTGTTCGTATCGCATTTTCGATTGGTCACCGATGCACGGTTCTCAAGCTAACATGATTAGTTTTTTAATCCCTGCATAACAAAGTTTGCATGGTCAGTCAGGTTGTTTTCTGAAGGGTGATTCTCCCGCGTTCGTTATTCTAAATCATAGGGATTTTATACGTCTGTTCGGTAGGAATGCAGATGCAGTTACTCCCATTCACGCAAAAAGAAGTGTGATTGTTGAACAGCGTACGCTATTGGTATTCGAATCTGTCGTAAAGTACTGAGCCTGAACTGGATCTTCTTTACGATGTGTGCCATCATTCTGTCAGTCTTGAAATTCACGATTCCTCTGGCTTTTACGTACCAGAGCAAGCAGCCGTTTGGAACAGTGTGAACAAGAAAGTTTCTGGGCCGAAGGTCTTCGTGGTCTCAGGGATGATGCAAAAACGAATGTCTCTACTCTGCGACATCTCTTTTTTGGGCTGGCGAGAGATGTCGATCCCCTTCCTCCCCTACACGCCTGTATTTCAGCAACAGGAAAGGTTAAAACCTGGTTTCGCGCCCACCAACTGGATGAAAGTTTGAAAGCAGAACCAAAACTCGATGTGAGTGTGGAAACGAAAAATATAAAGTACAACTGCGAAAGACTGATGAGCAAGGCGAATGGCAGCAACGCAAAAGAAAATAGAACACAAGACTAATTGCTGCTCCAACGTAATAACTGTTGTCTTGCGAGTCGTCGCGATCCAGCATCCGGAATTTACTGCCTGGCTGCGGTGATACATGCGCGATAAAACGCACTGCCTCTAAACAGAGTGACATACGACCCAGCGTTTTTAGATTGGTCGACGCAGAGGTTGTCGGTTTCTGTTGTTGTGCTGGAGGTCGCTTCACTTGATCGTTGTCGGCAATTGTCAAATGAAGGAATTCGAAGATGAGGTTTGCCTAGCGCAACAACTTACTCTAAACAGAAGTCGTTGAGAACATTCCGCATGTTGAAGACGCACGGAAGTATGATGGAAAGCCAAAGGCTCATGCCCCTCATGTATCGTGTGGTAAAAGGCATGCCAACAGACCGTCACTCATACACATTGCATATTTGAAAGTCACATTGAACGGGCCGTGACGATCGACAGCACGTCGTTACGAAACGTAAATTCCGTGTCTGCGGAAGTTGGTGACTTGCTGTGCACCTGCCTGCCGAGGAAAATATTTCGATCTCGCTGCACCAAGCACTTCTAAAAATCAAACTTGTATAAAGGCAGACTAACCTCTTGCGCTGTTTGCGCTTGAACGTACGGCGTGAACTGTAATTCGGCAGCACTGAATTACTAACGAATCCTATTCGAAACTGTCCGTAATTAATTTGAAAGTGCATCGCGAACAGCTTAGGCAGTATGGTTTCTTATGTTCATCTCCAGCTCTCACGTTTGCTCAGCCTGACCATCCTTGTTCTCCTTCATGTTCTCTTTTTCATCGTCTTTCTTTTCTTTTTTGTTTTTAATTCTCGCCTTTTCGCTGTCGCGTTTCTCTGTGTTTTATCCTTTGCATCGTCATCCCACTTCTGGTTCTCATCTTTCTCTTAACCTTTTTCACAGTTTTTTTCGTTTCCGCCCATCGGTTTTCATCCTTCCCTTTCTGATTTTTTCCTCCTCTTTCCTTTTCCCTTTTTGTACCATCAGCCGTCTGCGTCTCATTATTAATCGCCTTCTTAGCCATGTATTTTCCTCCCACTTCGTCCCTGTCCTTCTCTTGCTATTTATCTTCGTTCCTCGCTTTCTTCTTATTTTTCTTCTCATCTGTCCTTTTTCAGCCTTTTACTTTCCGCTCTTTTCTTGTTCGTTATTCATTTGTTGCATTATGCAATTTATTTTAATACTTGTCCCTTTCTTTCTCTTCCATTTTTTCTCTTTTCACACATGCTTCTAGTACTTCGCTTTATTCGCCTGCTCCTCGACATTTTCCTTCCCATAGCTTTCATTTTCTTCATTTTTCTCTACTAATTGTTTTCGTACTGCGTGTTTTCGCTTTTTAACCTCATTTTTAGCACTTCAGTATCTGAGACCACATTCTTTCGATTAGCATCCAATACTCATAACAGAAGGTGACGCTGGCTTCATGTAAAGAGTTGAAGACAGATAGCTTAGTGTTACAGTTTGAGCTCGTTCGTTAGTGCTGCCCGGAGATACTTGGAATTTCTCTACTGTGCTGTCTCAAACCTACCTGCCTGCGGAATTTCAGTGAATGGAGTTTGTCGAAAGTAGAGGAGCTTCGGTTTTGGTCAGGCTGATGTTCATGCTGGCATCATGACGTGTAGCAGCGAAGTCATCAGGCTGAGTATGTTGGTGGTCATCATTCTACGAAGCGACCATGACGATATCATTCGGAAGCAGCAGATGACCTCATTGGACCTCTCGAAGTGTGGCACTCTCCATGCCAGATTTACGGCTGCTAATACAGTTCGTAAAAAATACGAACTGCATGGTGAAGATCAATTACATCTTCTTCCTCTGCATCTTTCTACTCGAATCCGGACACGAATATCTAATTGCTACCTCTAGCTAGCCATCCAGCACTTGTTCCTCTAGCACTCATCACAGCTTCGAATGGGGCATTTAGGTGTGAGCGTCTTCTACACGTTTTCAGCATTTCTCGCAAACCTAGCGAAGATTAGAATCGTAATCTACCGTGTTGCTGCCTCGACAAACGTTATCCTCGACGTTCGGTCTCATTTTCCATGAATCTGTTCGTTTGGCGTTTGAAGATCCTGAAACTGTCAACATGCCGACAGCAGCGCAGTTGGACAGGTGGTCACTTTGCGTTACTTTGTCGTGTCGTCTAGTACCGTTTGTGTTTCTTGTTGCACGCTGTGGTTTCGCTGCCCGTTGTACGCTTTCGTTCGTCGTCACTTGTTTGATTTGGTTCCTCATCGAACCCTGTTGTCGTGCTGTCATCGTTATGGTCGGCGGCACGCGTTCGCTTTTTCTCTAACTCTAACTCTCTCTTGTTCAGTTTCTCGTCCTTTGTATCCGAGTGTAGGTCTCTGGCGACTTGACATCGACGTTTGAACGATGCCGAGTGACAGAGAGTCGTTATTGAGTTTCTTTGCGAGTTTCACGCATTGATCCGTCGCGACTTAACTTAATTGCCTAGCTGGTTCGCACATGTGCCGCATTTGTCATTGCACCACCGGCAGAGCATTTTTGTGCCAGTAATAAACATGACTCCTGTGTGACGGCTGAAAGCCTTGCTTCGGGTGGTCCGTTCGCTGGTTGCATGTGCGTCTGAGTTTTCTTATCCGTAATGCCGAGTTTGTACTTAACCCTTGAAGCGAACCTTTTTTTTGTTGTTGCACGATTCTTTTCAAACCGACCTTCATCCAGGCGTCGTCATCATCGTCAGTCCTCGACGTCACTTGCTTAGCGCTTTTGGCGTAGGATGGCTGCGACGGTGTAAACTAACAACCTCACGGCTTACACGATCATCGACTGGCCTAATAGCTTTTTCGTACAGAGTTTTTTTACCGTCTTGTAACGCGTATTCGTTGTGCGCCAGTTGACATCAGCTGGCGTTGGTTCGGTTCGTGCATGAGTGAGGATAGTCGCGATCAAGTGATTGATGGTCGTCAGGTTTTAGACCACTTGTGTCCGTTTCCGTCTCCTAGCTTCCGGTTTCATCGACCAGCTCGACTCGGTGTCCCGTTGTCGCCTTTCCTCAGTAGCATATCGAAGACCTGTGCGCAAGTGAAAAACCGCGGCGTCGTTTGAAGTCGTGTCGGCCCTGCATCTGCAGGCGAAAAAAAACATGCGTACGGCGAATAAACGGGAGAGTGAGTGAAGTCGGGCTGCACCATTGGGAGGTTTTGTGCGTACGGCGCGCGAATTCGTCCGTTAGGCTGAGGTTTTTTTCTAAACCCCCCTGTATATGCAAATGAATGTTTTTAGGTAATTACATATTCGAGCATGTGTTTTAACTTATAAGTGGATTTTCAAGCCTCACAGATGCGGCTGCCTCGCGCTGGTGCTCGTGCATCAAAGAAATGCTCCGCAACACGAAAATGAACGTCGAAGTTTATACTTATTGACACAGAAAGCATAACCTGGGCAATTTGTGTATTAATATAAATTATCAGTTATTGCAAAAATTTAGAACTTTTAAAAATAATAATCTGGAATTTTCGAACCAAGTATCAGCCTTCTAATTCCTCGCACGCTTTTACACCCATCACGTCCGTGCAATCCCAAATCTTTTACCATCACCGTTTTTGCACTTAACGGCTGTTATGTAAAATCTCGTGGTGGTTCAAAAAGGCGATTTATACTCTTTTTCCTTACAGAGCGTAGAGAGCGACGTAATTTAGACATGTCGGCGGTTTCAATTGTAACAACAGACTTGCAATTAGTTTTACGAATAATGTAATTTCCGTACTCGGCGACACAACTGTCACTCAAAATTATGTTATTCGTACTTTGCTGTTGTACCGAATCTTTGACGAATTTTTCGTCTATTCCGTCCAGAGCATGTTTCACGATGCTATCGGTGTTGACGACGAAACGCGTCCACTGTTGGTAAAACTTTCCACTTTTGTTTTAGGTTCGTATTTGTTAACAATGCATAAAAAAAACAGTCGCTGATTATGCCCACCCCCGCCCGCAGAATCAAAACTTATTTCAAGGAAATTTTGTGATTAATTTTGGTGTATTGTCGAAATTTCTCGACGCCGATCTTAGTTGCGTTGGTTTTGGGCGTATTGTCCACAAGTCCGTCTTCACGTGACTACCAGGCAAAGCTTTATTTTACGTGCCTGCGGATCAGTGTATATTCATCGGTGTTCGAAGATGTTTTGTTCCACCCGTCGAATTGACGCCGTTTTGCACTGCATGCAATCTAAGAGACCTTAGAGCCGTTGCCTGCCCGAACGACCCTCTAGACTACTAGAACCAAGGGGACGGACGGTGCGACTACACCTTGCGAATGCAGGAGAGAAACAAAAGTTACTAACGACGTTTCACCCTGGCAAAGGCTTCGGTTTTCCTGAATTACAGACGAACCATGATACATTACGAAAGCACGCTTTCTGCAGCGACGACTTAGTGAAGGTGGGTTCAGTGGTATAGCAAAGTAATTCCCGTGTTTTAATCCTGCAGTCATTACTCAGTCTGGTGTTCCTCGTCAAGTTGCGCGATGGTTTCTTGATCACGAGGTAGATGTAAATGATTCCTCAGCCGCCAGTAAGAAGTTATCTCATAATTTGCGTCAATCATTGATACACTGCCTTCCAACATGCACGAATATTATATGTTCTATAGC